ACTTTAGTCAAAATGTCCAATAAGTGGCGTAGTAGACCCAGCAGCGAGGTTAGATCGGACCACGTAATGCCCCAATACGAACAAGCATAAGTAGTTAATTTCCTGGCAACGTTTGGCATAACATCGAATGGCGTCTGATGCCGTCGAATGACACCTAGTTTTGTAGATAATCGTAAGGTGGAATGGCCCATTTGAGCGAGGAGCAACTGCATTCAAACTATGCAAACTTGGTTTAAAGAGTAGGGATGAATGGCTGTCTCGCCATGGCAGGGGCTTGATGTACGTATGGTATGCAAGCGTGAATCAGAAATTGGCTGACAGTACTCCTCCATCCTGACACCATGCCAGAGGTTCCATTGGTATTAGCTTGAATTTTAAGCTTGGATCACAATGCTGTAAAGAAAAGAATGCTGGGGCCCAGTCACCTGCGTAATGCTTCCTTCTTGTACAGCATCATGGTCAGGATGGCAGGCTGGTGACGTGACGATGAATGTTCCAGCAGGATGATCGGCGGCCGAACGGCTGCTTCGGCGTCCAGGTTGCCCGTCTGCAAGGCGCTGACACGGGTTTGTACGTCTGCACCTGGTCGCGGTGTGCCTGCACGGCTCCCTGGCCCAGTATCTGCGTGTAAAGTGTTCCCCGCTGGCTAACCAGTGCGCTCAGCTATGGCTGCCCCTGGAAGGATCCGGCGTCGTCAGACACGACAGCGCCAGCTGTGAAGTCAACCTGCCGGCAGACCGGCGGGAGGTGCGCGTCTGGGCAGGGGCCTCGATCCAGAGCTGACGCAGAGCCGGCGAGGCGAGGCGAATGAAAACATGGCCGGAACGGAATCTGCGGCCGTGGAATTGGCAACCGAGGCGACTAGTCTGTAGACGGTGCAGGCTGTCCTGTGCACGTTGTTGTTTTCATTCTCAGGTATGTGTGGCAATGATGACACCAAACCCGGCAGTGCGGTTTCGCTCGTTTCTGACGCATGCTAATTCTATATTGCGCAGAAGCGACCTGAGACAAATGACGTTGATAGTGTTGTGCATTACGAACTCAGACTTTACAAGCTTTTGTGCACATCTGTGCCGCCGACAAATACCCAATTACGGAAACATTGTCGCATGCGCCACCTGATAAAACATTAATGACTAAATGTCAGCCTGATCACGTGTATTTTGGTCAAGCATATAGATTGCCGGATACGAAACATGTGCAGAGATGTGCATAGGCACATGCATGCGGCTATGCCTTCAATTGACGGGCGTGGCGTCGTTCAAGTCAGACGGACGTGCGCTGGACCAGTCCCCGGCTCCAGCCGGCAGCCTTGTTTGGTCCGGACTGAAGCCTCGACACCGACGTCTGAGCGGACAATGTCCCGGCGCCGCGCCGGCACGTGACTCAGCACACGACCGGGGGCGGCGGCGCCTGAAATTCCGGGCGGAACAGGCGGGCCCGGAAATTTGCCGTGCTGCGCACTCGTTTGCTGGACGTGCCCGCTCCAAGATGACGGATGGTGTTGGCTGTGTATTCATGAGGCGGAATATTGAATGAAACCCAAATCAGTGGTCAGGCGTCGACTTGGGTGTGGAGCAGGTGTGGTGTGGTGTGGTGTGGTGCGGAGCCAGTGTGGCGTGGAGGTGTGGAGTAGGTGTGGTAAAGGTGGAGGTGTGGAGCAGGTGTGGAGTAGGGCAGGTGTGATGTGGAGGTATAGAGCAGGTGTGGTGTAGAGGTGTGGTGTGGTGTGGTTTAGGGGTGTGGGGCAGGTGTGGAGCAGGTATGGTGTGGTTTGGTGTGGATGTGTGGAGCAGGTGTGATGTGGAGGTGTGGAGCAGGTGTGGCGTGGAGGTGTGGTCTGGTGTGGTCTGGGGTGTGGAGCAGGTGTGGAGCAGATGTGGTGTGGTTTGGTGTGAACTGGGGTGTGGAGCAGGCGTTGTGTTGAGGTGTGGTGTGGTTTAGAGGTGTGGAGCAGGTGTGGAACAGATATGGTGTGGGGTAGGTGTGGTCTGAGGTGTGGGGCAGGTGTGGTGCGGGGTGTGGAGCAGGTGTGGTCTGGGGTGTGGAGCAGGTGTGGTGTGGAGGTGTGGTGTGGCGTGGTTTAGGGGTGTGGAGCAGGTGTGGTGTGGATGTGTGAAGCAGGTGTGCTGTGGAGGTGCGAGGGCGTGGTGGAAGTCTGCGTATCAGCCTGCTGTCAGGAGCCATGGCTGCCTGCCCCGTCTCCCGTCCCGAGCTGGAGTCCGCCGTCGGGCATTCCCCACTGGCCGGTGAGCTTCAGCCCGCCAACTGTGGCTCTGACGGCCTCAAGCGGCGGCGTTCCAGCCTCGGCCGTCAGAAGCCCTCAGTCCTGTGCTATGCCTGTGCCGACGCTCCGTGCTGGAGCGCCAACAGAAGGACGGCGCTCCAGCACGGCGCTCCAACTGTGATGACGGATGACACTGAGGCGTCATCAGAAGCCGGGCGCCACGAGGCCGAGCCGCGAGCGGCCGGCGGGACCTGGCCACTGTCAGCCGCTCACTCCAGCCGCTCACTCCAACCTCTCACTCTCCAGAAGAGACACTCGCCGCGGCATGAGCGGCGCCGACGCGCGGCTTCCGGTGAATATTCAGCTCGACGCCGATCACCTCATCTCCATGTGACTGACGCTCGTGCGCGGCCAGCCGGCGGTCTTGACCCGCGTCGTGACGCTGAGTGATGGCTCGAGTGTATGCGGCGGCGACGGCGGCGGCGGCGAGCGAGAGCGCCGAGCCGGCCGGCGCGCGCCTCGCGACCTCGGCCCCCGCACACGCGCCGCTCGCCGCTGACAGCCGCCAACGGCACCGTCACGTGTTTGCTGGCGGAGCATGTGTCTGACGGCCGGCCTGGGCTGGTCTGGTCGCTGGTGACGTCTGAGGATGGGAGGAAGGCGTCTGATGGGAGGTGTTTGGTGACTGATGACTAGACTGCTCTGGTGCTTGGTCTTGCTTTGTCCATATGCGTGGAAACAGATGAGCGAAAGGGCTCCCGAAGAGTTTTAGCTTCACCGGTGCACGTAAAAATTAGGGATGACTGTTAAATTACATGGAAATTTGATGGTTTTAAAGTATGTGGTACCTGGGAGACACCGTCCCACTCCCTGCCACCACAATATTGCTCTGGTCAACGGAATTAAAACACTGCAATTACACATACACATGACGCGACTAGCCGTGAATGATCGTTGGAGCTTGATGCAAATACACATCTGAAGAAACACTGAGCTGTATGTAAAACCGTGAAGGTGCAAATAGAGGGATGATTTCCGTTTTTTTATGAATCCAGGTAGATGACAGGGAAAAGGGAATACTGCTGAGCTAGCACATATTTTATCTTACGCACGTCACGCATCGTCGTGCCGCTGAACGCCGTCGTGACCATTATGTTACAGAATTTGGCAAGTCAGCAAACACGACCTTCGCCTCGGCAGATTGATGACGTTTGGAATCCTGGCATTGAGAAGACGTTCTCGGCGTTTTGGCAGGGGCCGCGCCGTTATCGAGACCGAGGCTCGGGCGACAGGCGGTGTCGGGCTCGACAGGCAGGAGAACGCTCAGCCAAACAGGCGCGTGTATGTACGGGAAGTAGGGTACGTCCGGACGTTGGTGCGAGTACGTAAAACGTGATAAGTGCTTGCGGGTGAGTGTTTCCGTTTCTGGCCCGGGGCCAGGTCTGATGCAGGCAGCTATCGCTAGAGACTCTGATCCTAAGCTATTGCGTACAATCTCCGAAAACACCCTGCCCAGAAGACACCGAGCAAAACCGATGTATGTGTGCATCATATCCCTGAAACCCTGGAGCCGCGACTCATCTCTTTTGTCGATGAAAACATCAGTTAGCAGCAAGACGATATATTATCGTGGATGGCGTCTACACTATCGACGCTGACGGCAGATCGGGGCTCGCCCGCTCTAGCGGTTATTTTCATGACAATGAGAATTTCTAACATTGATCAAATCAATTTGCATCGTGATGAAAATCGATTGAACACAAAAATAACGCTTACAAACTGGTTTCCTTTTCAGTAACTTACATTATTCCGATACGCCCGTAAGCTTCGCCATTACGTTGGCATCAGAAGGAGGGGCATATAATCTAGTGTATGCATGTGGGTTGTGACTACAGTGCAGCACAGTAGTGGTGTACCACTGCGTGCCAACTCAGCAGCCAAACCGCTGCGGGTAACCACACCTTCCCGCTTGGCTGCGCTGCAACGGCGGCGAGTGGGCGAGAAAGTGTGTGTGTGTGTGTGTGTGTGTGTGTGTGTGTGTGTGTGTGTGTGTGTGTGTGTGTGTGTGTGTGTGTGTGTGTGTGTGTGTGTGTGTGTGTGTGTGTGTGTGTGTGTGTGTGTGTGTGTGTGTGTGTGTGTGTGTGTGTGTGTGTGTGTGTGTGTGTGTGTGTGTGTGTGTGTGTGTGTGTGTGTGTGTGTGTGTGTGTGTGTGTGTGTGTGTGTGTGTGTGTGTGTGTGTGTGTGTGTGTGTGTGTGTGTGTGTGTGTGTGTGTGTGTGTGTGTATGAGTGTGTGTGTGTTGTTACACAAGCTTGCGTGCGTGTGTGCGTGCGCGCACCCTGTCGGGGGCGCGTGTGTGCGTGCGTACGCGTACCCTGCCGGGCGTCTGCACCTGTCGGTGACGTGCAGCCCGCCACATCCGGGCTCGTGCACGTTCAGCGATGACGCGCAGATCTTCAGCAGCCGGCCCCCATGCCGCCACCGAGACGACCACGCCCCAGCGGGGGCGTACACGTCCGCCCGAATCGCTGAAACGCTCCTGCCAGAACAGGCCAGTGCTGTCGAGTGGAGCCGACCCAGGCCGGGCCGCTGCTGTCGAGTGGAGCCGGCCCAGGCCGGGCCGGCGCCGCTCACACGAGGTCGCAGGTCGGGCCGGCGGCGGCTCGGCGCCGCTGGCCGTCCGCCAGCCGCTCAGTCGGCCGGCCGCTGTCCGCGACCGCGGTCTCACCGTCCGTCCAGCAGCGCCAGCGGCCCGGCCCGGGGCAGAGCGGCGCTGCTCGCACGACCGCGCCGTCGGCAGGCCAGGAGTGGCGCGCTGCCGCCAGTCGACGCTGGGAGGCGCCCCTGCCTCTCCATCGTCGGCTGACGCCACTGGACGCGGCGGCCGCCAACGGCTGGTGGCTGACCCAGGCTCAGCCGCCCTGGAGCTGGACCAAGAGGACCAGCGGCACCAGCAGCTGGACGGCGTGACCCTGCTGCCCGAGGTGACCCTGCTGCCCGGAGACGCTGCGTGACCCGAGGTGACCTCGCTGACAGAGGTGACTCTGCCGCCGCCGCTGAGCCGGTCCGTCACGATGACGCTCGGTGAGGCCTGCCCCTGACCGGGCGGCGCGTCCCTGCACCGAGCGGCAGCTGACGCAGCGGGATGGGGCCGCTGCTGCAGCTGTGGCTGGCGGCGCTCCTCTGCGTCGCCGTCGCCGGCTTCCCCTGCCCCAGCGGCTGCGTCTGCCCGTCAGAGATACAGGTGAGGCTGACACCGGCTACCATGGCGACCAGCCCACCCAGGACCTGGGGTTCTGTGGCTTAGGCCACGTCTGAGTAGTTTACCAGCAATACTGGCATTGCAATGCCGAGATCAGTGTGGGAAGTAACTCCAAGATCATGCATGTAGGCAAATGCCCGAAAGGAAAACGAATCGGCAAGTGTGAAGACCGCGTGGGTCACCTACATTCGAACCGAATTTTGGCCGGCTGAATTAGCTTGACGATTTTTGTCTCATTCACTGTAGGGTGGACTTGAGCATACAAAGTTATCAGATAACATTTTTTTGCGCACGGAACAAGGCAGTTACTGATTTGAAACTACTCATAATGATTTACAAAAAAAAAACAAATTCAAACTTCATGCCCAGTGTAAGACACAAGGACGATTTTTGGAACTGTTGTCAATAATGGGAAATAATTATCGCATGTCGGCAATTATCTGTGCGGACTCCTCGGGCTGTCGATCGTGCAAATAATGTATGTGATATTTTGTCGCATATCACCGCTAGCAATTCATCAGCCCGGCGCGTTCGGAAGGTTTGCAGTTGGACGAGGCATGGACGCTTGCGTTGTGGATGGGAGAAAGCACGCACGATAAGAGGACTGAGTTGTTCGCTGAAGTGATTCGGAAAGCAATGTGTGTCATGCTCTTTCCATTTGACTTAAGCTTTAGCTATCAGATTTGTCTCATTCAGAACGTGCATCCTGAGCTGTGCGCATCGTACAGTGAATGCCTGTCATTTGTGGGAAAGAATTCACCTTAGTCTTTTTCGGAGGACTGGGACACGTCCAACTAAGCTCTAAAGAACTTTACTGGAACGCTCATATCTATAGTGCACTCCGTGTGGACTAACCCATGAAAAGACCCATGAGCTTATCAAAAATCGGCATTTGCTGCCCTCTGTCTCACGATGTAGGATTATATCCTTGTTATTTGAAGCGCTTCTGCAGCATAAACGTCAGTGTAAGTTTAATTGAACGCTTTCGATATCCATCAAGTTGGTGTCGTATTCTCAAACAGGATCGCAAATCGCCCATTATTACATTTTAATCTCAGCAAGGGTCATTTGTTTGTTGGAGGTGTGTTGCGTGTCCTGCCCTATACATGTGCCTCTTCCTGCACAAAACCGAAACATTTAAGATGCATTGCCAGTTTTTATCACCTGTCTATGAACCGGCTGTGTGTGACACAATAAAAAAACACGGGTGCCTTATTGGCTCGGCCGGTACCCCAGCACAGCGCCCACGGAGTCCATCTGCCCCCCCCCCCCCTCCCATCCCCGTCTGTTCCCGGCGCTCCCCAAACCACGTGCGTAAGCGTGGCCGTCAGATGGGCTCGGTTTGACAGGCCTAACCTGCGTGCGTCAGCCCCGGCATGCCATGCGTGCCATCCGAAGCAGAGTAGCTCACTCAGCTCGTCCTCAGACAGCGCTGGGGGAATGCGGTAGACCTGCTGGTGCACAGGCTTAAAAGGCTTTGCTAGGGCTGCAGAAATCTATGAGGCATATGCTCGTCTCGTATGACTTTGCCAACGATCATATACGTGACAAGCATGCTCCCTCCATGTAGTTGATAGCTGAAAAATGGCGGTGTAAACGGTCTGTGTAACCATGAACCCCGGTTATTACTCACAGATGCACACTTATATCATTTCCGCTCACAATTAGTTCTGTTGGGATTTGTGTTGGTGACACATGTGCCACAGTGTTTTACCAGACTTGACTTTCTTTTGTGTCCAAGCCTCTCACCAGAGAGCGGCCCGTAAATGGCTCCGCCCGACTTGTCATCTTACGAACCGCTGTCTTTCTGACCGATGCGCGTATCTGGGGAGATCTTCTCTCGACCCCTGTCTGACACGATCTCGCCGACGGCCATGACGGGTGACGTATTGATGCCTATCAGGCACGGAACAGATGCGTGGGCGCGGCGATTCGGTGGTTTTATGGAGCATGCATACATTTCCATTTGATCTAAAGAGGAAGCTCATCGAGAAGCTGAAAGTCACCTGAACAAGAGCCTGACTGACAAAACGTACAGGGGTCAGCGAGTTTCATGGTGGTGATTTCCCATCAAGTGGTCACTTCCTCCAGGATTTTATAGCTGGCCACAATAATTGAGTTATGTTCTCTAATTACTGTTATAATGTGCTACGCGACTGTCACCGGACCAGCGGGACCGCATTAACTCGGAAGCTTTCACAAGCGATCCGGCCGCGGTATTGACCAAACTCTTCGGATGCACTCGCCTGTTGGCGCTCCCGGACGTCGTGGAACTCCGAACCGCGCCGCGTCGACAAGCAGCTGCGACGCTGAGGGGCGGCGCCTCCACCAGCGTGAATGTAGCGTAGCAGCCCTACGGCACTCCGCGCTCAAAACACGGGCCAGCACCCCACACCCAAGACACGGGTCACGTAGGCGGGTGGCGTAAGCCCGCGCGTAATACCAAGAAGCTTTATTAAACGATTTAATAGTTTATCGTATTATGAATGGACTTTTCGGACATTAAATATTTCACCTGCTGAGTCAGTATATAATTATCACATCAATATTATATCACATCTGGTATTGTATTACAATACAATACCAGAACGACATATACCCACGTGAAGCCATTTCAGCCCACATTCAGGTATTCGATATTCAAGTGAGGGGGTCTGAGGAACGAGGCGATTTCCCAACTCTGCGTGCTGCCTGCAGGTGATGAGTGAGCTGGGCGACACAGAAAGGGTTTTCGTAACATTATCTGTGCAATATCAGGCCAGGGTTGCATTGCTAGAACCCTAACACGCTTGTGCACCTGTGCGACGGCTTACGACAGGCAGTATTTCATTTCAAACCGTACGAAACCTCCTCTCATCTGAAAACGAAACGGTCAGATCCACGAACATTCCGCTGGAATTCCGCCTTCTGCACTCAACTCCGCAGATACGGCTGCAGTCGCACCTGCGCCGGCCAACAGCCCTGCCCGCTCGACATGTCCCTCAGTCGGCTGAGCGGACGGCGGGTATTGTGTGTGCCATCGGTAGCGGCGTCTCCCCGCGCCCCTCGCCTTGTACTGACGCCAGCCGTCTGCTGGGAAACACTGCGGCATTGTGGTCAACAGTCTTTCCGCCGTCAACATGCCGAAGCTGGAAGAGAGACGACATTATACGGTGGCCCCTCTCCTTTGATGTTTGTTTCTTCCAACAAGGCCAAAGATCCCCTCAAACTCATCCATCTGCACGGCTTTCTCGATGAGATGGCATGCATGATTAGCGTGTGTTGTTGTGCCTTGCCTACCGTATGATGAACTCATCATCGTGCGGTCGCTGCTTCGAGGTTTGTTTGCGGCTTGTCGGAGATCGTAGATGAGAGGATCACAGATAGCTTACGCGGACGACGTTCTTCGAGGAACAAAAACGGCCGTGTTGCAATAAGATCTACGTGCCATTGAGACATGCAGTCAATCTCGAGACAGCAGTGTAGAAGAATAGAGGTACACAGGGTCAGTGACGTGGATGAACATTAATCACCCTGTCGTGGCCGGATTTTTATGTCTGACGTGATAGCGTGGCAGGGAAAATTTAAGTTTAATGATGATTAACTATTCCTGTCGCGTGCTTACTTGCACGTTCGGTCGGCCCTTTCATCCCAAGTCATTCTGTGAATGACGCGGGGCTATTGGCCGAAATTTGAGCTTAAATGCGTGGCCATGCCGGAAATGCTTTTTGTGCCGTGGTCGGCCAGCTAATTAATAGAATCGTCAATAAATAGATGGCGCCTGCCTTGTTTAATGGCCGGTAATAGAGTTTTTGCTGCGCTCGACGCGCGCGTCATTCATCAGTGTCGCGGCCGTTACGTTGCGGCGCCGGCGGCGGCCGCCTTGCGGTGCGATGACAAGCCGGCCGGCACGCCGCTGCAACACGTGCAGCGCGTACGGTCGGCCGGCAGCGCCTCTGTTCACCGGCGGCGCCGCAGGCGTCGCCGCCGGCGCCGGAAGTCGTCCGCGCGTCAGCGCCGGCGGCCAGACCCGGAGCTCCTGCCGCCGCGCGCCTGCAGTGGCCGCCGCCGCGTCACGGACCGAGCTGCCGAACTAACCCGGCCGTGAGGCGGGCACGGCGGACGCGGCGAGCCGGCCTGCACCTCTGAACGCAGAGGCCGGAAAGCCAGCCCCGAGCGCGCGTGACGCGGCCGGGCGCCGAGGCTCGCAGCCATTCAGCGCTCAAGTGTGCGTTGTATTGTGATTTCGGGAACCGGAGAGCGGAAGTCGCTTGTGGTAGTTTTGAGTTGACTATGTGACCGAGCGGCCACATATGATTATACGAGCGGGTGAGCGATGGTCAATGATCAGTGCTTATCAGTGGCGATCGTTCATCAGCTGATTTGTAACACGTCACGCTGGTGTCTGAATGAGTGTTCTGATGACAACCCACCGTCTGGATTTCTAGCGCGATGTAACTTGAGCCATAATCTAACTTGCTCGCTGGACCAGACGCGTGCAACGCCGTGATGGGCCCGGCGCTGGAGGGCACGTGACCACGAACGGGGCCTGAAGCCCTACAGCGGGCTACCGGCTGCGCGACTGCGGCAAACGAGTCACCCGACCCGGCGACCGCGACCTCGCGTCGCCTCCCCGACTGCGGGTCACGTCACGTGCCGGGTGTGACGCACACCCGTGGGAGTGTCGTCACGACACCGGCCAGCGCGCGTCGGCGGGGAGTCGGTCGGAGTCTGTCGCTTTCCATCGCGCGCTACTCACCGGCACCGTCGGCGCGTCGGCTTGTGGCCAAGGCTGAGCAACAGCGCACATCGTACGCATGGCATTTGTGCCAGACAAGCTCGACTTGCATTGTTAGTGGGGCTGATGAAAAGATCAGTCAAATGCTGGGAACGCCGGCGGTTGCAGCACGCGGCGGAGTTTCCAGTCCAAGCATGCGAACATTGAACGCCGCACCTGCATACTTGCATGCACACACACGTGCACTTGATTAATGGTCACCATTTCAGACCATGATAACTTCTCACCCTTAGTTACGCATTGTGCTTTTGTCGGTATAGTCCAGCGCCGTAATTACGTTATTGATGAAGACCGTTACTAATCACCCATTTCCCATTGTCTTCGTTAAACCTCATTAGAATATCGCATCGTCATGTTTTCGGTACCTGGTGCTTTTGGCCGCTCCACAGGCGTAACATGTCGACACACACATACTCGAGGGCAGGTGACTGACGAAGGAATGCGAATGAATGTGATGGGCAATGTCCAACGGTAATGATAGTTACTCCCGACGTGGGCAGCACACCACTTCTCGATCACAGATTCTGCAACACTTGTGGACAATTGGAAATGGATTTGAAATCTCAGGACCATGCCTCGGAGTCAGCATTAAGCAGCCCGACTCGCTCAGAAAATATTATCAACATGCCTAAAAGATCCTGCAATCACCGAAAATCACTCTGCATAAGTTTTGTAATAACTCAGATACCTAAGTAAGGGCTCCTGGAGAAAGCCGCAGGATTCTTTCGGTGATGATGACGATATGTTTTCGTTTCAAGCATCGCAGGCCAGTAAAAGGTACGCAGTGATCTGCCCCACTTGAGGCGCCTAATAGGTATACATACAATTTAAGCCATTATACAGCATTCCTCACTGAATTTGGATGATTCTGCCGAACCGTCTAATTTTGCAGTGAAGTGAATTACGTTGTTTACGGAAGTAGCTATTAACACGCGCCCGAGTGGCCGGCTAAATGTGCTTCGCTCGGGTGGGGGATCAAGTTGACCACCAATTTGACCCCATGAGATCTCGGAAACCAAGAGGGCTAGAGACACCAAACTTACAGGGTGTATTGACCTGTACGTGAACTCACTTAGGTCAAAGTTTTAGGTTCCTAGGCCATGACCTCTGGTCCAAATAAGGTCAAACAAGGTCAAATTCTAGGTTGGGCTCCAAAGTGCCTCAGAACCTAAAAATCGCTTTTAAGCAAAATTTCGCATACTCATTCAATGTCAGTGACCTTGTTTGACCTTTTGAAGGTCATGGTGACCAAAACCATACAAGACTGCTCTGAGTTTTGCGGTTGAATAAGCGACAAAGATTGCGCTAGGCAGTATGTTTCTAAAAGCGAAGTGTTCACCTGGGTCATTTTAGGTTCATGACCTATTCCGACCTCTAGGAAGTCCATCGAAGAGGTATAATGCGCTTCCTGCAATCAATAAATTCGAAATGAGCACCAGAAACTATCCCTTACAGCAAGCTCTAGAATAATAAAACAGGTTGGTTTTAGCCTTGGTCTGACGTTCACACCTGACCTTAAGTCAACGTTATTTGCTCATTCAATATTGATGTCGCTTAAGAAAGCATTTCAGAGACGTATTGATTCCGTCTAACACTCCATTGTTGCATCAGAGTGAGCGATTCCCTAGAAAATGACTTCACTGAAACCATGGCCTGACTTTGCCCTGCCATAGGTCAGTGACCTTACTAGGTACATGTAATTTTTGTCAAACGCTCCGTTACTTAATTTTCTGCGGCTACGCAAAATTTGGCGCGGCCACGCCGTGCGGTTCGGAAACCATTCTGGAAAAACCTTCGGGGGTTCAAATTGACCACATGAGCGCGAGGCAAATGATTGGCAACCGCGTTGTGAACCCCACACCCGCATTATGAAATCCTGCGTACGCTCTTGCGAACAATGCAAATTCTAGCAGCCTGCGTTCTGGGACCCGGTGAAGGACAAAGCACGAGATTAAAGAACGATGGCAGTTTCGGGAGTCTGTAAACTGGGGCGATCGTCGCCAGCAGGATAAATGACCACTGGTTCTTTGGCGCATGTCCTTGCGCATTGCGTGCGCATGATGCACATCTCCAGCGCCGTGTGGTTCCTTCTCCGCCCAGCGCGACTAACGGCGCGGCCGGCTTGCTCCGCAGGTGCTCTGCACGAACGCCGGGCTGACGTCACCACCACGGCACCTATCGCCCTACGTGCAGCACCTCTCACTGGCCGGCAACCGCATCCGCCGCATCGGCATCAGCGCCTTCCAGCGACTGCGGCGGCTGCGCACACTGGTGCTGGACGACAACGAGATCGGACGGATCGCGCCGTTCGCCTTCCTCGGGCTACGCGACCTGGAGCGCCTCTCCATCCAGCGCAACCCGCTGGGCGAGCTGGGCCGGTTCGCGCTAGCCGGCCTGCACAACGTCACGTACCTGTACCTGAGCCCCGGCGGCGTGCGCCGCGTGCGGCCGTTTGCTTTCGCCGGCACGGCCGACGTCAAGCTGCTCCTGCTGAGCGGTAACCCGGCCGCCGAGCTGGAGCCGGACGGCTTCTCGGGCCTGCGCCGCGTGGACCACCTGCTGCTGCCGGAGCGGCTGCGGCGGCTGGCGCCGGGCGCCCTCGCCGGCCTCAGCGCCGTGGGGGCGCTCCGGCTGCGGCTGGCGCGGCTGGAGCGGCTGCCGGCCGGGGCGTTTGCCGGTCTGCAGCAGGTGGCCTTCCTCAGCCTGGAGGATAGCGACCTGGGCACGCTGGAGCGCGGCTGGCTGGCCGGCCTGCGCCAGGTCGGCCGCCTCAGCCTGCGCGCCAACACCATCCACGAGCTGGCGGCGCTGAACGTGACGAGCGAGGTGCGCCGACTCGACTTTCACGGCAACCGCGTGCTCAGCGTGCCGGCCGGTGCCGAGCTGGCGCTGGCGCCGACCGTGGAGGCGTCCATAGAGGGCAACCTGTTCCCGTGCACGTGCCAGGTGCACAGGGTGCTCGCTGCTCTGAGCAGGTCGAACTACAGTGAAGTGCGCTTCATGCAGGACAACTTCTGTTTGACTCCGCCCAGTCTGCACAAGCGACGCATCAGTGAGGCGAATGTGACGCAGATCGCGCCGTGTCCGGACCGGGACAGAGCCGAGGAGGAGGAGCGGCGGAAGAGTGAGGAGGTGCGGCTGCCCTCCAGCGTCGGCCGACTGTTCTCAGCCCCGCTGCCGGCCGCCCTGCTAGCCGTCACTGTTGTGCGGCTGCGGTATCTGTGAGCTCCGCTTCGCGCCCTTTGAGCCCAGTGTTGAGTTTGTACGCCTCGTTGGTACGCGCTGGAGCTGCGTGTTCGAGCTCGTCTGCCTTCTTGAATCGTGCGCGGTGTTTGGGCCTGGGCATTCGGCGATGGGTTCGTGGGGGCTTATGCCGCCCTCCGCGATCCCGGTTCACTCCGCCAGAGCATGTCCCTGCCGTGTCCGACCCGGCCCGTGTCTGCGGCGCTGCCTCCACCCCCTCCCACCCATCTCCCCCTCTCCCACCGGAGCACTGGGCGGGGAGCAGGCGGTGGACAAACAGTGACCGATCAGGGTGATGACGAACGAGGCGAGCGCGATGTACACACGCCGGGGCGGAGATAACGGACGAGCGGCCCCCCAAACAGCACAGATGGACGCACGCTGGGCCGATGGACTTCAGACCAAGAGCGTCGCCCTCTCATAACAGCCCCGCATAAATGTATAACGGGCCGCCGATCTAGTCCAAGACGAGGTTTTCGATGATGTTTTGCCCGATATGGACGCCCCCTACGGTTCAAGGTATTGCATGTGGGGAGAGTCTGGCTGATAACTGACACATTGGTTATCAGTGGTCTGGTCTGGCAGCTGTGCTCTGAGCGATTTGTTCGCCTTGTGCCCATCAGTAGTGGAGTGTGTGTGACAGTGGTGCGATGCATTTCACGCTGCCATGCTGCGATATTGGCGATGTTTACTCCGTGTCAACGCATGCTGGTGCGTGATGAGACCAGACTATGTGTGTGAAAGTTGCTGTAAATGCCAAACGCTGGTATGATCTTTTTCGAAGAATCCAATAATACCAGTCACAGCGAGTTGACAGGCATCTTGTTGGCAAAGTGCTACAAACATTATGGCACCCTCCATATTTCACGTCCACGTTCAATGGCTAGTCTGTGAGACCTGTCCCGATAAGCTCAAAATTCGCTCTTCATGCGTTACCAACTGCAATGTTTCTCGACTTTTATGGTACCAAAATGTTATAATGCGCGAAGTGCAGTCTGTATTGTACCCTCAGCCTCCTAACATATACTGGGCGTTTGTACCAGAACATTTTCTCGAGCATCCTTTGCGTCGCGCAGTTAGACCCCACACCCTGTTCGGCGTCCATTACTCAAGGCCTGGGTGCTCACCCCCCCCCCCCCCCTCACCCATTACCGAAGCGCGGAAGGCCGGCAGAAGGGGCAGTGTGAGGCACGCAGGTGTGGCGCCGCAGGAGGCCCGCAGGAGTAGCGGCGCGGGAGGCCCACTGGAGCGGCGCCTCACACAGGGACGGGTGCCGCCCGGAGCAGTCTGATCAGCCGTCTGACCCCGGCTAGTCTGCATGCGACTGGAACTGCACTGCCAACACATGCAAGTGGCACGTCACATGACCCCAGGCATGCTGAGCCCCCACCAATACCTTGTCGGGCTCGTTTTCTCCATGCTCCAGCATATTATAGCCGCTAAAGATTCACGCGCCCGCTGCGCACGCGAGTCAGAAGTGTGGACAGACTTCAGAAACACCAGAACTCCGTGATATCCATTCGTCAAACTGGTTGAGCGCAGCAGCGACCATCACGGATGGCTCTCAGACCTGCTTTACCACCGGGTCGCCTATGCCGCATTGACATCCATTTGCCGGGTTCAGGTTGGTCCTAATATCCTTTAATTTCACCAGGTATGCGCTAAAGTATGTCACTTACGTCCATCAATTTTCGCTGGGGAATCAGGAACGGCCACCCGATGCGGCGACCATTAGCTCAGGCGCATTTTCGACGTTGGCAATATCACGAAAACGACATTTTAGCCATGATTACTGAATCTACACTTCATCCGTTGAGGGATTCTTATAGCTACTGGTTGAGAGTGTTCACAGCTGCGCAAGGCTGTTTATTCATCGACTTCACCTTTCGTGAGCCACAATTACCCGGCCGCTTTGCAGATTGACGATATTACTCGCCAGATAGTGCGGAAAAGTTGGGTCACCAACCGGAACTCGAAGCGGATCTATGGAATGCCGATCCAGTACGCAAGCCAGGGATCCGGCATCCAGGGATCCGGTATCCCAGAGATTAGGTTTGAGCCCCGGCGGGTGGACCCAAATTTTCCGCACTGTCTGGCGAACAATATCACCAAGCTTCCGAGCAGTCAGCCAGTGCTAGCCCAGCAAAGTTGAAGTAACTGAATAAAACAGTCTTGCACGGACATTTTAGGTGTCGAAAAATAGCAAAATTGTCTAGTTGTGGCAAGTGACAATGTAGTAGGGGCACCGCGCCCGTGCTGTCATTGCTCCACGGCCTGTAGAGATGGTGCAATGTGAATATATAAACTTTAAAAATATGAGGTGGCTGAAAATTTCTTTAAATAAAGCCACAAGGGTATCAACTTCTGTAAATTATCGGGGAGGGGGGGGGACGAACCAAGGGTCCGACAGCCTACCACCCCCATTCTTTTCTCACCGGATTTAGCCTACTTTATTGTGATAAAAGGCAATACACGCTTTTATTCTTTGCATAATTTATAAAAAGTCTTTAATCTAAGCCGCATAGAAGTCATTCAGAGGTGGATCCAGGGAGCAGGCACTGGACGCAGGCGTCTCTTCTCATCGACGAGTGAAGGCCACCTTTAGAGGCCACCTTAGGATGCCGATGGTGTCCTATGGCGGTCATGGCACGCGGCACGCATTTTGGTTGCTGGGAAGGAGGACGGAGTTACCATAAAGAACTTAGGTTAACCCATGTTCTGGAGCTTTTCACTTTAACTTTACAAACCAGCGCGTGTATTATGACACTAGGTATGTGAAGCTTATTGCTTCGTTTATCCGCTCAGCTGTTGCGATTCGTACCTGGCGATGAGAGCAACCTTGACGTTATGTTATGAGAGTAGTACGAGACGCCACTACGCGGGAAGATCAAAGAGGGTAGTCTTTTTGCTCTGGTCATCTTTTACCTACGTTTTTGGTAGCATTCCAGTCGAAAACATTGGGACCCAAGCCAACATTGGGGTCCAGGGCCCTCACAAACGGATACAAATCGACACCCGTGCAGAGCCATATATGAAGCCCAGAGGATGAAACAAGCAAATTACCAACAACGTAGCAAGTAAGCAGACCTGAATGCTGATCTTTGATAGATTCGAACAAACAAAGCCCAACACGCACATTTTTAGAAAGTTAGGGCAATTTGCTGACCGTTTTCTTCTATGGAATGACTTTACATAATAGTATTTCTCTTCAGAGCTTTCACCAAGATAGGTGCCAGTTTTATGACATTTTATTGTGATTCACGAGGCTGTTCATTTGCACCAGTCTGGCTAAGTGCAGACCCTAGGCCAATTCGATTTTTATGGAAGATTCATCATATCATTCACGCTGTTAGAAACATTTGTTATCTTTAAGCCCATTCGGCTCTCTTTTATCGGTTTACGACGCGGCCGCTAATCCTCATAACCGTGTGAACTTTGACAGGATGGCGCAATTGATCTGGTCGTGAAAGGAACGGTTTTGAGTATCAATGTGTTTCGACGCAAATACATGATATAGATGTGCGTCCTACTTACGCAATGTTTTAATTTCGGTTCGATGCTAGTGAGTCTTAAATTAAAACCTGAATGCCGTGGTACTGCAAATCAAGCAGACATAAATGTCTTGTAAATTCTGCCACGCCACTCCACGAAAACTATTCCCGGCTGTTGGAGTCGACACTCTTCCGCGAGCGGCATCTGCGAATACATCCGTCTGTCTTAATGTGTACCATCGTGACACATGCGATCTGGATGTGCGGGAGGCTAACCATCTTTCCCGGGCAGCTCAGGTCAGATCGCTTATCAGGATGTTACGTTGACTTTTTGCAATAAAATCAAGACCGAGCATGAGACATAGCCAGCCGTGGTGTGTCTTCGGAAATAATTCATCACACACCAGCTGCGCACAACGGACGGGATATGACGTCACTCGCAGTCCGTCGGGGGACCACCGTGCACTCTGTCCGCCGACGTCAACTGGCTGTGGACAGCGCAGTGCTGTAGCAGAGGGTCAGTGCCGTCCGGAGCACGGCTCCAGCGGCAGGCCAGACCACGTGAGTGGATCGACCTCCGAAGCCGCACAGTTCTGCCTACAATTGGATTACTCCGCCCGGCGCCTGACGCCGGTGACCGACGATGGGAGGCAGTGTGACGGCAGGCCGTGTTCCATCGTCCCGGTCAGCTGCTGACCCGGTGACCTGTCTGGCGGTCAGCGGGGGGCCAAGTGCAGACGCTCCCCTCCCGGTCAGCTGCTGACCCGGTGACCCGCCTGCCGGTCAGCAGTGAGCCACGTGCAGGCGCTCTTCGCCCTGCCGGTCAGCTGCTGACCCGGTGACCCGTCTACCGGCCGGCAGTGAGCCAGGTGCACGCGCTCGTCGCCTGCCGGTCAGCTGCTGACCCGGTGACCCGTCTACCGGCCGGCAGTGAGCCAGGTGCACGCGCTCGCCGCCTGCCGGTCAGCTGCTGACCCGGTGACTCGTCTGCCGGCCAGCAGTGAGCCAGGTGCACGCGCTCGTCGCCTGCCCCCCGGCGCGGGTCACGGTCTCGTGCGCGGCGCTCGGGCAGCGCGGAGTCTGTTAGCCGAGGACCGAACTGGACGGAACAAAATGTCTGACCCCCGGGAGATCCACGTTCGGATTCCGTTGCCGCCAGTGCGGCTTCCATGTCTCGCAGGAGAGCGACCAGGTGGGTGTTCATGCAGCGTGACACGAAGTAAGCAATCATGGAACCGTTAAGTGACCATGCAGCATAGAATCAATGGCCACGCAGCGCACAGCCCGAAGGTGACGTCGTGTGGCGTTGCGGTCGTAACGGAGAGACGGAGTCGAAACTCTGGACCTATGGTGCCATAGAGATGGGGATGGGGTAAAAAAGAGGGCTTTAGGAAATGGTAAGTTGTAACGACGAACATTTTTGCAGTGCAATTCTTCCACAATTTAATCAGCTCATAAACTACCTACAAACAACTCATATCGTTATCTTTC